AAGAGAATCACAGGGTTCCTTCATCCCAGTCAGGACAGCCTAACAACAATCAGCACCTCTTTCTAATGTTGTTTTCCCGCACTTCCCACTTATTTACTTAATTAGCTGTGTTTTTACAGACAGGACCATCATCAGGCTTTCTTGAAAGGCAGCTAATGTAACTGTTTATTAATAATTGCAAACACTCGTGGCAATTTGTTAAGGCCCCCAGATGGGGGGAAATACTCAAGCGCCTTAAGGAACAACTAATTACCAGCAATGCCACAGCAGTCCCCATTCATTTCATTACGCTCTGCGCTCTCAGCAACAGCCTGGGCACCCTATCATGTACGCGCACAGAAGAAGGGGTAAACACACTTTTAATCCTTTCATTATTATTTCACGGCTCTCCTTGAACAAGCTGCAAAAGCCTCGAATTTTCTTGCAATTAAGCACATCCTAATGAAAGGAGGAACCGCCTGCACTTGCAGCCTTGCAGTTGTCGCCTGGGAGAAGGCAAAACACTCCTTGAGGTCACCAGCCCTTTCCTATAAACCCAGCGGTTTCGGAGAATGTTTTAAAATTAGAGGCTTGCTTTCCCTAGGTAAGAGACTGTAATGAAGGAGAGCATAATTTTCGCTGTACTCCTAATTAAAAGCTCAGCTGGCACAAGTGTTTTCCTTCCACGAGGTCTGCTGTACGCTAGAAAATTATCATCCCATTTGAATCCAGTTGCATGCAATCAACCCAGCTGCCATGAACTCCTGGACAGTGACATGGCCAGGCGAGGGGAAGCTCAGCATCGACACCCGGCGCCGTTTAGTCCATCAGGGTGTCATCACGATGAGGTGACACAGTACGGGCTGGCCCACAGCAGCTGTCAGACACACCATCATGGCTTTAATCCCTCATACCTTCACACAAACAGCCCAGAAAAACAAGCCTTGGAGTGCTATTGTTTATCTTGATTTCAAAGTTAAGCTCTCCATAACTAAAAGAAGTCAAATTAAAAAAAAAAAAACACAAACTATCATTTTCACCCACACTTCAATCTGTAACGCTAAAAGGACATTCTGAAACACTTCTATAGCCTTTCTTCTCTTTGCATGGAGAAGAGGTCCCTGGGTCCTCTACCCAGGAACCAGAAGTATTAATTCCCTGAAATTTGCTTGCTAAACCCCCAAATATCATCTCATATGCCACTGTAAAAGCTTCCCAGCGCTTCCAGAAAAGTTGTAGGGAGGTGTTTTACCAGGGTTGCCCCACCCCCAGTAGAGGCACATCAGATGCCACCTACAAATGGAAGATCTTTCCCGATTTCATTAACAGGAACACAAATAGGCACAGTAAAGACTGCCAGTAATTGTAACTTCATCAAGAAGGATTAGTTACATGTGATAACACTTTCCTGAGCTGATGACACCCTCTCCTTGCACCAAGCTCTCCAAAATCTGTTTGGTGGATGCTATACAGCATATTTTACTGATGTAGCACTCCTGTCCATACCAAACAAAAAATGGCATCAAAATGCTGACTAGATTTATACTGCAACATTTCAAGGGTAATTGCCTGTGCCGACCACGTCAAGCCATTGGCATCTGCCTGTGTTACGCCAGCACTTCCAGCATTGTTTCTCTTTTAGTTTCTTCACCTATATAATAGAATACAGCAACTAGAAAGGACAAAATGGGAAAAAATTTACTGCAGGACCTATACCACACAGCTACCACACAAAAAAAAAACCACAACAACAACAAAACAAACCCAAAAGCAGAAATTCATATAAGAGACTTTGCCAATGGTTCTTCCCACCCAAACCTTTGTACCAAATTATTTTCTCTGGGTACTTCTTCCCTCGTTCTCCCTTCTCTTCACAAACACATGCACTTACTTTACTAATTTCATTCTATTTTGAGGGTAAATAGTTGCTTCTTAACTATAATGTAGGTACCGGACTTGACAAGCAATTAAAGCAAACAATTTCCACTCATCTAACTTTGCCAAATTAGTCATCTGCCATCTGCTCTATCATCTGGCTCTCCTTGAGGTCTTGCTGTGAATCTGGAAGCGCTTGCTCTGATGAGGAGGCAGCGGATAAGCCTCCAAGTTGGCAGGGAACTCAAGGGATGGAGGTGACATGGGGGTGACACGTGGCCCCACACCGCTCACCACCAACCGCATCCTGCCAGCTCTGAGGAGGTGCTTGCTGGTTCCAGCAGTCAAACTGGCAAATTACTGGCATGCAAGTGATAGAAAAGCATTTGAAATTAATGATTTCTTTTACGGCCTCTTCTGTGGCATGGTTGCTTAGAAAGAGCGTGGGATTTTCTTACTGGACGCAGGATGCAAAAAATAACTTTACTGAAATGCCTTCAGCATTTACAATCTAGTTTCTAATGAAGTACCTCACCTAAACAAACAATAGACATATCTAAGAAGGATTTGAGTGGTGTGTGCTTCCAGCACCTGGCTTAGTTCACATAAGTCCTTGTTTTGAGCCAATGAAAAGGTTTTCAAATAGCTCTGAAACACACCACCAGTCTCCTCTGCCCTCCAACTTCCAAGCACTGGCAGGACCTTTCTCTGTTACCAGTTTTCCAGTTTGGGCTCCTTACTGGGTCTTCCCAGTATAATCACCAGCACCTCTTTTCAAACTTACCCACATTTCCTCCCCAAGGAAATTAAATACCCCTCCAAAGTGCAAGCTAGTCCATGCAAATGTTGCTGTTGCCCAAACCATCATGAGAAGGAATCGCTCTGCCTGTTGCTGGTGAATACCATTACAGACTGTCTATTCGGGCACTAATCTCCAGTTCAGCCACTTGAGTGCAGCACCCAAAATTAAGCTTGTGAATCTAACTCTTATTGTCAAGAACCAAAATATTTCTCTACAGTGCCAAAGTATAGACCATCACCAGATCTGCAGACAGACGACCATGAGTAATACAAGGCCATCTGCTCTTGGGCAGCTAAACACAGAGCGAAAGCCTAAGAGTTTGCAAATATTGCTCTCCCTGCATTCCAGTTCTCACCCTTCCTAAGTCCTGCCCCAGCACAGCAGCAATGGCTCGTGTAACCTGTGTCTCTCCGTCACTGCATCACAGAGCATCCTGGCTCCTTACTAGAACAAAGTGGTGGAAATCTCTACAGGTCTCAGCAGTGGGAAGGATTTGGGTAGCATTTTCAATGCCAAAGGAATATGTTGGGGGAAGATGATGGAGCGCAAACCACAAGCCCAGGCAAACACATGGACGGGTAGGAACAGGAGGCGCAGAAGCGGGCCAGGGGCATAAATTGGTTTTTGTACATGTGCCTTCACCGCAAATCAATTTAGCGCAGGACGCCAATAACATCTGCTGTGAGGTTGGCCCGAAATCACTTCTCAGCTCACAAACCAGGCTGCTTTGCTGGTGAGATGAAGGGCTCCTTGCTGCTCCCCCAGCCCCCGCAATGCTCTCCTGGGTGCCCAGGGGTGCTCGGCTTGCAAAGAGCATTGCCGTGGTGCTGCAGCAGTGGCCGCCTTCCCCAGCAGCTCTCGCCGCTCCACTGGGACTCATGCGGCTCTATGACAGCCGGGGGCTTTCGCCTGCCTGCCTTCCTTTCTTTTTTTAACTTCCCCAGAGGGCCCCCTGAATAGCGCAAGCATTCACTCAACTTAAATGCATTTTAATTAACATTGTACAAACACACCGAGTTTGTGCGTGCACAAGGGAGCGCATTCATTCAGCTTCTGCCTGATTCTCAGCCCAAGAAATCCGGCGGGAGCGTCGGCAGCCGCTGCGATGGGAATGGGATTGCAGTCCTCGCCGCCTGTACAATATTTAAAATACACTTGGCAAAATGCACACAAGCCCTCAGATCCTACTTACTCGTATTTAAGCACCAGTTTATGTAAAAGATACAGCTCAGACAGGGTAGGTGGGACAGGTGCTTTTATATCTGCTAATGTAACTGTGGGTAATTAGTCACCACTAAAGCACACAGCAACCACTGTGTCGTTACAGGGTAAGCATAAGCCACCTGTGACAAAAAGAAAAAAAAGGCATTTCCCCAAGATCTCCCACAGAAATTACATTAGTAATTATCACATAACCCAAATACCACCTAATAAAATGATTAAAATAACTATGAAGTTTAAACACATAAAGAAAAGGACTGCTTGGGAGATAACAACTTCCCGCAATTCTGGCAAACCTGCAAGACAAAACCGCAGAGGGGCTTAAAGAAAAAGTCCTAGAAAAACATTAGAGAAATAAAGAAATCCAACCTCATGAGGAGCACCCGAGATGCCAGGGCTCAGGTGTCCCCACCAACCAGGCAAGAGCAAACCCATTTCAGAGCTGCTTTGCCCCAGTGTTTCAAGGTGACTGTGCAATGCAGGAGAACATGATTAAAGAAACTACCTGATTTTAGCCAATCTGCATAGTCTATTAAGTTGAAACTGCACACAGTTTATTTTTCATTGATGAAAATAGTAGGCTCTCAAGCAACGCGATAACCTTGTCAAGTATACAGGAGAATTCAGCTCGTGTAAGACAGCTGAAAAGGTAATTATTTAAACTTGGAAGTACTACAGATGAGGGGGATCAGCATTGCAGTTGCGGAGAGGGGCAGGGGCTGTGCTGAGACCAGCTGGGCTAGTGGGGTGATAGCCACATTTTGTCCGGGGCCAAAACACGCTGGATCTGGGAACATGGACCACGTCCCGGAGTCCGTTGCAGTCATATACATTAAGGTCATTGAGTCAAAAATTAATCTAAAGTGCTCTCTTACACAAGCCTTCCTTAAACCAATAGTTGCGTTTTCCTAATTGCCCATAGCTAAACTAAGTGGTAAACCCCATGTTACTAAACCAGGGGCTTCCAGATAGCACTTTATAGGCAGGGAAAACAGTCTTTCATTAATTAAGGCCTATGCAATAACCTTTTCACTTCTATATGTCATGTATAAAAACATACAGCCAAATCTTAAGCTGGTATCATCTGCCAGTGACAACCCTGTCTCTCTTGTAGCTCACGCACATTTCAGATGAACAGCTTCACACAGGTCGCTGAGCACGTACGGCATCGCCACCAGGCTCACTCAGGAGCGGAGGTGCACGCGAACACCAAACTCCCACCTTCTCAAACCTGCATGTTTTGAACCGAGTCCTGGATTGCACAATTTAAATTAAACATAATAATTTAAAAAAAGAAAAAAAGCTAAATAAAAGCCTGAGCACCCAATAAATTCTTCCAAGGCTGCTGAGGGCTTCAGCTCTGGAGAGCATCAGCACAGTGGCCATCTCTGGGTATGGTCGTGCTGAATAAACCCATACACCTCCACCACTAAGAAGCCTTCCCATTAAGAAAGTGAAAGAACTACTTTTTAACCTCTCTTGGCATAAGATGGTATCAAATCTGCACAAAGGAGGCAGATGCAGGACTTGCATTTGAATTAATAACCCAACCGGTGTGGGTGGACTATTGTCTCTGCGTTTGATGAGCTTTGTGGTTGGTCTCATCGATGCTTTAAAAGTGAGCGAGTCCGAGGCTGTAATCACAAATTGACTTGCCCCTCTTCATGCAATTCCTACTAAGCTTTTGTAAATGGTTTCACTTTCCAAGGCTGCGAAGGGGCATGGGGGGAGTCAAAGCTGCTGTGAAATTGCTCCTCAAACATACTTCCCCTGCAGTCAAATCTGGCAAAGCAACTTCAAATTCTCTAATTGTTTCCCTCACCCAACATATTGCTGCACTGCACTAACCTAAGGCATATTTATTTGTTATTTTTTGTTTGTGCTTTCAGAAATCATCCCAAAAGGTAAGTTCTAAGTAACTATATTTGTCCAAATCGTGTATTATAAATTCTTTATAGATAAGTTTGCTCAAATATGTTCCCAGTTAATGCTGTCTGTTCTTTCTGTTGGGCTTTTTAAAATACACTTCATATATATTTTATAAATGTTTGCGTTTGTTCCCACCCCCCTGCCCCAGAGACTGCCCTTAAACTTCTGCCCATTGATTGTGACGGTATCAATTTGTAAAGGTCAGAGGAAAGCTTCTCTGACAGCTGAACTCAGAAAGCAATTTTTAAATGAGCTGTTTCTCTTCCTCTACAAAGCAAGATGCCAACAAAATCAAAACCCTAGGTCTTTATTTCACTGGCCTGACCAGTGGCTTTGATAGGCTTTGGATGTCTGATGGGCACTGAACACTCCTTGGAAATCTGAGCCTGTGTGATGGTCTTAAAAAATAACAACATGTGAAAAAGCAGGTTTATGAAGAGAAACAGAAAGCTTTATGAAAAGAACATTAATTTGCTGCTCTTCCAAAAACCTCTGCAGACCTCACGTATCAGAGCTCCCAGGGATTGCCACACAAATGTCACCACTGTGTGGGTTTTTAGCATACATGAATACCTTATGGTTTATACCAAAAAAACAACCAAACAACAAAACACTAAACCAAAACACAACTGCCTGGCTAGTCAAGAAACAGACTGTGCCAACTGATTTTGATGCCTGCTTCAAATTTGTACCAAGAGAACAGGTTATTTTGTCTGGGGTTGTGATCAAAAGCCTCTTCAAAAGGCTTCCGTCCTTTCTCCCCATCCAACAGTTTACCAAATATCTCAAATTCATAACCATTGAAAGTAGGGCTGCACAATTTATGGCACTGTTATACATGAAGAAAACCTGCCATAAATCAAAGAAAACAGTTATATAAATGAGCATAAAAGCGCAGGGAAATGTCACAAGATAGCAATAAAGTATCTTCCAAATGGTAAATCCCAGGAGCAGAAGCACCATTAGTTTTGAATCTTCGACTCAGCAACAGCAGGACTGGTTTATCACTGGAGTAAGCTCAGTGCTGGAGCTTGCTTCCCTTAATAACTGCGGATTCAGGCAAAACTGCACACCCTTGGTGGGGAATCAGAGAAGACAGAAGGAAGCAGAGACACCAAATGCACACCTGTGCTCACACCAACTCAAATCAGTCAGAAGTAACACCATGATCCCATGGGTTTTCCCCTGCTGCTATATGGAACATAGGAACACATACTTACACACAGATTATATACACATATTTATTTTTTTTTTTAAAAAATATGGTTGGTGGGTTTTTTTGGAACCTGAGCAACTATTTTCTTGGCCATTTCTCACTGAAATACAGAAACCATGGAAGATTGGTTATCGTTTTAACCAACCCTGGAAGAGGAGGGTGAGGGGTTTAACCTGGCAAATGGCCATAATGCCTTTCACCAAATTCCCAGGCCCCAGCTGGGGCTGCTATCTGACATTTGGTCATCTTTCTGCAAACACTACCAGCAGAACAATGGACGTGTAACAGCAAAATACCAAGGAATTCGTTGGGATGAAGGAAAGGCAATGCCTTGTACAACACTGGAGCTGTCCCAGGAACAGTGGTGGCAGCACCAGGAGGATCCATAGACAGATCAAAGCTTCAGCCATTAAAAGACGGAAAGGATGACAGGAGAAAATCACTCTGAGACTGAACGTGGTGCAGAAGACTCCCACCCTGACCACCTGGGATGCTTCTCCAAGGGATTCCCTTTCCATGCTGCTTTGCCCCAGAAAGGCTACACATGAGTAAGCCAGAGAAACCACCAGAGAAAGCCTGTGCCTTGGGGCTTATTTTTTATGTTTGTGCACAAGCCGTTCCCTGATCCTTTTCAACTCGGAAAATTCCCAAGACTATTTCTGACCTCTTAAGAGGACATTCACGTGCACCTTTATCCTGCAAATGGTAACCATTAGTTCACTGTTAAAATAACATGATCCAGTGATGTGACAAAATAACGTTTTCTGGTTCTCCACCCAAGGCAAAGAGGGGAAAAAGAAAAAGACACAGCAGATGGCTAGTTGCTTTTTTCGAGGATGTGGATGACATATTCCCACAGACCAAAAGCAGCTTCACATTCCTGCCTCTCACAAGAAGATGACAGCGCTCCTGCCTGAAGACCTCCCCACCTGATTTTATTTTCATAAACAAACACTGAGAAAGGCAGAAGAATGACAGGCACCTTGCTCCTTGTCGCCGGGTAGAAAGCATCAGGCACATTATTAACAGCCTCATTAAGGAGAAAAGGCCAAGAAGCAATTTTCCCAACGCAAGCCCTCTGCGAGGAGGCTGCTCCCGGGGTCCCCGTTTCATTAATACCTTCCTCTCGCTCGCTCAGTTCAATGATCCGGTTCAGTTGAAGCTGGGAAATGGAAAGGAGGCGGGAGGGGGAGCCCCAGGGGTGGGGGGCACAGGGCACCCGGCATGTGATCCTGGGCAAAGCTTGTGCCGGGGGCTCTGGCCGAGGCTGTGTGCTTAAGTGATGCAGGAGCACGTGCGGCCAGAGCAGCTCAGAGCAAATTTACCTGTTGCCAAACGTCCTTGAAGCTGCCTGCCTGTGACGGGTAAATGGCATCGAAGGTCAGTGAAGCTAATTTGATGGTAACGAGCCTGGCTCTGCACCGCTCACCAAATACCACGGCCTCGTCCTTAAAAACGCCCACGACCCACCCCAAAACCATCTCGCGGGGCACAGAGAGGTTCCCAGGAGCTGGGCTCCCTTGTTTTCCCTCCTTAATACTCCGCTTACAAAATGCATTCACTTTTTATTACAACCACAAAAGAGCACAGCCCAGCTAGGAGTGCTAGGAACAGCTTAATTAATAACAATTAGCCGCAGCACAATTGTGATTCAGGTGGCGTTTTGGAGCATGAAGGAGAAACTTGACACTTTTGCTAGTATGCACGGACATAAGAAATTCCAGGCAAAGTTAATGGAAACTGAGCGGCTGAGCGACGCTGAAATTCAAATGTACTGTAAAATTACTAAATGATTTCAATGTCACAGGAAGGCGTCGCGCTACTTCCAGGATTATTAGCCCATGCAGAGTTTTAATAATATTTGGTCAAACACCTCAGGAGCACATAACTGGGATATTATAAAATCACTGGGATAATACAAAATATATTCATATTTTAGGAAAGGGAGGAGTGGGGGGTGCTGTTTACAGCAAAGGGAAGGCAGCAGCTTTGAAAAGACCCCTGATGGGGTGAGATGCCAGGAGGTTGGGGGGCGTGCCGGGTGCCAGCCCCACGGTCCCCAAATCCACCCAGTCCCTGCCTGGCAGTGGGTTCCCCGGAGGGGGCCCGGCAGTCCCCCCCTTGCCAAGGCGACGGGGAAGGACACTTTATGAAATTGCAGTTGTCTAAAGCGGTCAAAACACCTGCCAGTCACAGCGGGTTTATTGGCCACGCTCCCCGCAAAGGGGGCTGCATCTGAGTGCCTCCGCCTTAATTAGTGTCACCGCAGTCAGATGCAATTTACGTTTAAATATACACGGGGAATATGAAGACAGTCCCAGCGACTACTTTCAAACAAGAGGAAAAAGGTAGAGACTTCAAAGGCTTTTGGTGGACAACAAGGGAAATTCTTTGCTGGAGAATGAGTGGACATTGCTATTACCAGAGAATATTTCCTGACTCCTGCAGGGACAACAATGCCTGGCTCATTCTTACTAGAAATAAACAAACAAACAAAGGAAAAGATAAGTTTTGAAAGCACCAAAAAGCATAGAAACATGCATGCTAAGTGCGAGTACAAAGGGCATTTGTGCAAGACAAGCTGGGCACCTCCAGGTATGCCTGTGAAACTCGGTGCACACGTGCTTAGATTGGTTTTCACAAGAGTTCTTGTAGCTTTCCGTGGGAAATAAGCGTCCTGTACAGAGCAGTAACATACATGTCTTTTCTGGCAAAAGAGAACATACCGTAGGGAATTCCAGATGGCAATATTTGGCTAGGAGGGAATATGTTTGGAGGTTGTTGTGATACAGGTATGATGCAGCTAGAAAACCAAGTGTTTCAGCCTCCTTACCAACAGTAAAAAAGGCACTTTCTAAAGTAGGTAGACCAAGGACACGTAGGCTAAAACTGGAAATGAAAGAGGGTGGCTCCTGCCTCAAAGCCATGCAACAAATCCTACCTCTGCAGAGCACTGCTTCCTCAGGGAAAGCTGTCATATGCTCAGTAACATAAGTTTCCCTTATAATTTAAAAAATATAAGCC